TGGAATGTTGAACTGAACTAGAAATTTCGAGATTTTTTTTTCCTACTGATGGGATCGATCCTTTGCGGGTTTTTTTAACTTAAAGTATACAATAAATAAATAAATTAGAGAATCCTGAGACAGTACTGTACATGCGGTAAAAATATTAGCTCTAAAGCTCCCAGTGGCGCACACACACACACACACACACACACACACACACACACATATATATATATATATATATATATATATATATATATATATATATATATATATATATATTCAAATGTAACGAGAACGAAAAGAATATAAATTCAAACATTTATAGCATTAATTTAAAAGAGGGCTCAATACCAAGAGAAGAGCAATAGTTATTTATTATAAAAATGTTACATCCAGACAAAGAAGTACTCACAACAAAAGTGCATTTTTGTTTCGATGCATATGCATCTCGACAGTTGAGGAACAAAGATGCAGAAGCGTCTGGTTGGGAAGGTTAAATTACTGTTTTAGAACTACAAACTTTCCATATTTCTCTCTTGCTAACCAGATGCTTCCTCTGTAGCTAAATGGTATAGCACGTCAGGCTATATGGCGGTTCTGTGTAAAATATAGGTTCGATTCCTGTCGGTGGACACATATTTTATTTGGGATTTCTCGGACATTCAGGCCGGTAAATGTTGTCAATACTGTTTATTATAAGCAAAGCATTTACTTAAATATTTGTATCTATAAAAATAATGTATATACAAAACAATATATTAAAATAATTGTCGGACTCTACCAGTAATATATTTACCTCATAATAAGACAAAAATCCTCTTTCCCTTGTGAAACGTCCTGGCTTCGACATGCCACAATTTAATGAACCTGGCACTACCTGTTGTGTGCAGAAGGTAAATCCACGTCCATACATGGGAATACCCAAAATTAATTTTTTTCTGTCGGCACCAAGATTAATCCACTTTTGCACGGCCCAATTCTGAAATGGTTGTTGAAAAATAATCATTCTGCTAGAAACATTAACTGAAACATTTGAAAAAAACAAAAAAACATTTTGATCAAAAGTTGTTCGAAATTCGTCATTATTCGTTATATCAAATGGTGGCATTTGAGTTTTGTTTGCCCGGCGTTTGTCGCACACAGAAACAAACCAAATGCACTAGTCATCTTCTGTATTCATCTGCACAACAAAGATGAAGGCGGTTAAGTACTTTACATACCTGAGCTGTCAGGTAACTCGACGTAGTGTAATCGTTAGCAAGCTTGTCTCGCTATATTAATTTACGACTGAGTCGTGAGTTCGATTCACACTGGGTACGCCAACACTCTCGACCTTGTACCACATCTAAACTACGCTTAGAAAATCATTGGATACCTCGACGTGGTATAATGATTATCAAGCTTGTCTCTCTAAATCAATGGGTGCGCCATACTTTCGGCCTTGTACCACATCTAAGTTATGCTGAGTATTTTAAATTGAAAAAAAAAAAAATAATTTTAAAAATTCCCGGCATGCCTCATTTCGTGCGCATGTGTAGTCGCACCATTGTAACAAATTTAGTCTCTGATTATGTCCCAACGGGTGAAAAGCGTCACACGAAAACTTTTCCCACTTTGCTATATATATATATATATATATATATATATATATATATATATATATATATATATATATATATGGTGGAGTAATGGATAGCGGCTTGGATTGAGGAATCGCCGAGGAGAGCCGAGGTCGAATCCATTACATTCACTTACGTGCTAATATCCTTGGGAAAGGTGTGCATCCTCTTCTTCTCCCTCCAGCTATGGGTAAAATAGCAGGACAGACTGGGTTCTATAGCCTTGGATGGCAACTGGTCTAGGAGAAGGACAACTCTGAATTCAAAACCCGCGGAGAGTCGTTTGGGAACCTTGTGGCATTCGGTGCACCAGGTAAAAAAGTGTGGATGGTCCTGCACGAGGCCTTCACCACTATAATCAAATCACATGTGCCGGTGTCTGGCTGTCGGTTTCCTGGAAACTGATCTGCTTGACCCTCATACGTCGAGTCTCGACGGGAGAGTCGATTATATATATATATTTGTGTGTGTGGAGAGACATAGGGTGGAGAGTTGTATATGTGTGCGCGCATGCGCATGGTTTACGTCCGCAATCCACAATACAATTATATTTATAAATGCTTTGCAATCCACAAAATAGGTGTGTTATTTTTGAGAACTTACCACTGTTGCTTTTTCGCCTGCTTTTCCAATTTCATTTTTTCGTGGATAAAGGGGGGCGTTTATCTGTAGAGTAGATTCCCAGCCGCCATGGAGGTCATAGGTCATTAAATTGATAAAATCAAGGTATCTGTAAAGATAAATAATAAAAATATTCTTTCTCTTCTTTAGATACACAAATTCCTCACTTACCTGGATGTTTTCTTTCTTTTTCATCTCTTTGTTTTTCTTCCCATTCTTTTTCTCTGTTACTTCTTTCTATTACGTTCTTCTCTCCTTCTCGCTTTCTTGTAAAATCTTTAACTCTCTCTCTATCGCTTTCTCTCTCTTTCTCTCTCTGTCTTTCTCTCTCTCTCTCTCTTCGTCAAAATCCCTTCTCTTTCTTTGCATGTAGATAGTTTCGGAGTTAGCTCCTCCTTGGCTCCTTAAACCGGAAGAGAAGTCATTTCGACCTTGACCTTTCGGTTGTGCTCCCTACACGCTGTTAACCCGAGGTAGAGACTAGCAAGTTACCTTTTCAGTTTAGTTATATTACGAACCTAGTCTTAATATACTTCTAGGCATTATTTTAGGCCTTGGTTTTCTTTTAACTAAACTCTACTCATTTTATAGATAGACTTTACTGTGTTAGCTTACCAATTCTCTTGCTAGTCTCCCTTACCACAAGACAGTGACTTCTCGCTAAATTTAGGGTCGGCGACTGAAACGGTCGGTACGCAGGCTCCTGGCCCCGTGGCCAGGACGTCGACCACCGGGCTGTGTATTAAGTTACGCTCCCGTTTCTTTTTGTCTGCCAACTTGACGATAGTTGGAAACTTTCCTTCTCTCTCTCCTTCGCCTCTTACTTCTGGCTCCTTGACCATGTTCGACGCTCGGCATTCCGTCCCTACTGGCTGCCTGCACGTCGTCTATAACCTTTCCCGTATACTACGTTTGTAATTATTACGGGAGGTTGCTAATATCGGACTCGACCGGCAGACGCGAAACGCCTGCACTGGACTTTTGACATGCCCGAACAACATCGCAACGCCAGCTCCTCTTTCCTTCCCAACACGTCAAGTTGGCATCCCGGCAACGACCAACATCAACCTCAAACTACAATGACCAGAAGCGATCATCTGCAACGACCAGCAGCGACCACCTGCATGACCAGCAGCGATCACCTGTAACGACACATGTAACAACCAACCTCGACCATCAATGCCTGCACCGGAACATCTGCATCTCTACCGTTCCGACCACCTTTATTTCTTTATTACTTTTCTAGAATAAATTAACTTATATCCTCGTTATGTCGTCTATGTTGTTTCACCTTGTCAGATTTAACGTCTTCGAAAATGTTAGCAGGCCTCTTGTGACCTCATCACCCTTTTGCGATACGGGGGAGCTCGAGGGGGGCCGCTACAGTAGTTAAGAACTCGAGTTATGTTATAGCCTCATCAGATCTAGACTCTCAGATAGGTGTCATGAATGGCATCCGGCTCGTACAACCGTTTTATGAGATCAATCATTAAAGATGGTTTTCAAGTTTCGAGGTCATAAAGAAGACACTCCTTCATCAGATCTTAAAGACTGGCGCTATAGAATCACAAACTAGAGCTTTACCAATAACAAAAACACATCACTTGAAGACTTCCAACAGCAGTAACAAATAAAATGGACAACACATGTAATTGGAATAAAAAATAAGGATTTCACCCGGGCATTCCACACAGCCTTTTGCAAAAGGTTAGGAAGGAACCCCCATCAATAATTCAAAATACGATAACTGTTACTGGACTTCAGAAAACTATTTTCAGAAAAAAATGTTTTAAAAGAAAGATTTTATAAATTTCAGCCGACTGTAGTGCTAATCTTTCCCTTTCAGCCAAAGGAATACCGAATGTTTACTGGACGGTGACGTTTAATTTTACCATTGCGATAGACAGGGGCATCTCGAGGTGGGGGAATAGTTAGCAAGCTTGTCTCGCTAAAACAATTACGAATGAGTAGTGAGTTCGATCCTCACTGGGTGTCCCTTACTTTCGGCCTTGTGCCACATCCGAGCTACTCTTGGAAAATCACTATGGGGCACCTCGGCGTGGTGTAATGGTTAGCAAGCTTGTCTTGCTAGATCAGTTACTACTGAAAAGTGAGTTCGATCCTCACTGGGTGCCCCATGCTTTCGGCCTTGTGCCACATCTAGGCTACGCTTGGAAAATCTTTGGGCACCTCGAGGTGGTGTAGTGGTTAGCAAGCTTAGCTCGCTAGAGCTATTACGCCTGAGTAGTGAGTTCGATTCTCACTGGGTGCCCCCTAATTTCGGCCTTGTGTCACATCTAAGCTACGCTTGGAAAATCACTATTGCAATAGACAGACCTACTTCCATATACACACGTAATTATGCTATGATTCTATCGAAAGTAGATAACATTTCTTTCTGAAAATTAAAAAAAATATTGTTATTGGTTGTTTTTTGTTTAGCGGCATATCAACACCTCTATGGGTTATTTAATACCGTAATATAGATATTTTGATTGGCTTGGTTGGTTGATTTTGTTTAGCGGTATATCAACCTCTATGGGTTATTTAATGCCGAAATCTATATATTTTTCACGCAGTTTTATTTTTATTTTTTTGTGTGTGAATAATAGTTTTAGCGATACAAGTCATTAACCTCTAGCTTGAAACAGAAAAGGTGGTTTCAAGGGTATTTGCATGTAAGTGAATATAATGAACCCAACTGGAATTGGAACTCGGCTCACCGATTTAAAGTTCCGAGCCATTATCCATAACACTACGCACACATCCAAGCTTAACAGCACCTGATATTCTCAAGCGGTTACCCATCTAGGCCCTAGACAGGTTCAACGTTGCTTAACTTCGTTGATCGTACGGAACCGGTGTTTTCAACGTGATGTGGCCGTAAGCCTATTACGCAAGCCGCAAGTTGCAGGACACAAACAGTATTTCGTCACCAGGGTGATTTATTACAATGTGAGTGGAGTGCCGGGTCCTAGCCGTAAAGGTTGGAACTGGTGGAAATAAGGAATGTAGTTTGTCTGAGCAGTTTTTGTGGCAGAATCAATAGAGCAGAGAGAGGCTTGCGACATCTCATCTGTGACAGAGGAGTTGCAGAGTGGAAAATAATTCCTCACCGACAAGGACTCGGATAGGCTTTTGAACTCTATCGAGACTGGAAAGTGAAGAGTGGGCAGCGCCCTCCCAAATATGACAACACTACTCCATTGAGGATGAAAATACAGTAAACGTCTCCTCAATAAACAAACATTACTTCGTCCCCAATACATATATAAGACTAGCAGTAGAGCCCGGCGTTTCCCGGGGATGTAACAGTAAGAGATAAATCAAGTATCGACCATCATAAAGACTGAAAAATAAAATTGAGAAAGATTATTGTTTAAGGTTGACGGACACGCATGTCTTAATTAGTTTTTTACGAATTGGTCAAACCCAAACTCAAACAAAAACATTGTTTTCAATCGTTATGAGTCTACCGATTGAATAGAATTTTATTATAAATAATTGTCGTGTAAATGGAATTTTTAAAGCATTGTGAATATTAAAAATAAAGAAAAAAAGTGTGCAAGACAATAAGAAACACTACCTGCCAAAAAAAGTGACGTTTTGTTGAAATCGGTTGAAAAATGTAGGAAATCCGATCCCATATATAAACGAACACACACACACAAACAACCTGGGTTTTATAATCAATATAACTCGATATGAGTTATCCCCCTTTCATTCTCGCGACAGCGATGCCTCTTAATCGTGTTTTCAAATTGATTTCGTGCAAAAATAATTGTGTTTTTCCAATTTTTGGCGCTGTCAGAACCACCGCAATGTAATTTTACGTAGTCCTGTGAAGTTTTGTTGAAATCGGTTGAAAAATGTAGGAAATCCGATCCAATATATAAACGAACAGACACACACACGCACAACCCGGGTTTTATAATAAGTATGATTCCATCGATAAAATTAGTATTTTTCTCAAGTCTTACGAGAGACAAAGCACATTACGGTTTTTTATATTTTATCATTCATATTATAACTATCTCGCTTGTTGGCTAATGTGGCACGTGAGGGCTTCCTTGATTTACTTCATTCATCAGTAGCAGCAACGGAAGTAATCTGCAAGGAACAACTGGAAGACCCAGAACTCTTAAAAACGCTGACTGATCCCTATTCGGTATCTTTTCCACTTTTCCTTTTCAGTGGTCGCTACCGTCAAGGTCAGCACAAAGAAGTACTCACAATCCTTGCTGCAGAAGATCCATACCAGTCCTGGTGGTCCTGAACTGAGATTTTTTTGTTCCTTGTTGAAACAGTAGAGAAACCTTTCTTTAAAATTCAAGGGAACAGCTCTCCTAACTGGGAAATCCCCCCACACACTTTTTTTTTCTCGCAAAATACCACTAGTTTGTACTTAGTTTCAACCACGAATAAAATCTTAGTTTTGAGCTTTGGATTTGTTCATTTCACTCTACACATTGTCGAGCACACACACGCGCATGCGCGCACACACACACACATACACACACACATACTGACATTCAATAATCCACTATTAGTCTTACATATTCTAGAAATGACTTCGTATTATTGTCCTTAATTGTAAAGATTCATCGCGGAATTTCTTTCAAAATAAACATAACAATAATATTACTTATTGACAGATAAAACATAAAATTACAATAAAATGAATTCTATAGCCTTATGAATTAAGTTTTCTTTAATCATATCAGTCGGAACACATTTTCCTCGACAATGAAATATTGAGAAAAATATCGGGGCGAATAAAGAAAAGTTGGAAGGCATTTTAATGGCAGAAATCATTATCAGATTCAGATAACGGCAAATATACACAGGAAATCTCAATTTGTTTGGATCTGAAAATGTTATTAAACAGAATTTTCGGAATAAAAGTGGAGAATCTGGAAAAAGAACTTTGAAGGAAAACAAAGAAGAAAAATGAATGAAAGAGGAGAAAGATAAAAGAAAATGAAAGAATCAAAATGAAATGAAAGAAACGAAAAGAAGAGAGAAGAAAATGAAGACGTGATGAAAATGATAAATTGGACAAGAAAGAAAGAACGAAAGAAAAAATGGAAACATAAAAAGTGAAAAAAGAAAAACAAGAAAAAATTGAAAAGAAAGAAAGAGTTGAAACAGAAAAAGAAATTGAAATAACATAAAAAACGAAAAGGAAAAAAGAAAACAGAGAGAAAAGAAAAAGAAAAAAATGGTTTTTAAAACTTTAAAAGAAAGGAAAAAAATTGAAACGAAAGAAAGAAAGAAAGAAAGAAAGAAAGAATTGGCATCGAAAATAAATGAAATGAACAAAATATAAAGCAAAAAGGAAAAAAAGGAGAAAGACAAAAAGAAAAATAAAGAGAAAGAAAAAAAGAAAGAGAGGACGAGAGAATTGAAACAGAAACTAAATAGAAAGAACAATGTAAAAAGCGAAAACGAAAAAAAGAGAAAAGAAAAAGAAAAACAAGAAAAAGAGAGAAAGAAAAAGAAAGAGAGAGAATTGAAAGAGAAAATAAAATAAAAAAACAAAATACCAAGTGAAGACGAAAAGAAGAAAGACAAAAAGAAAACAAAATAAAAACAAGAAAAAAGTCAAAGAAAAAAGAAAGAAATATTATCAATTCTGGATATCACTGACCGATAAAATGCAAAATAATCAATTGTAGAAATAGAAAGAAGACATGATGCCCAAAATATTCAAAATGGAGGCAAAAAATCAAATAAAACTGCGATTGAATTGATTTTTCCTTTAGTTTTGCTTCGTGTTTCGTTTTTGTCTTTTCATTATTCATTTCTCAAATTACTTCGAGCAGCAATAAATGGAATTTAAAACATTTTCTTGTCTGCGAATCTTTTTTTTTTTTTTTTTCTTTTCATTCCAGCAGCAAAAACCTCTGACTAATTGCTCTGCTATATTTTCTATCAACTGTGTGTGTATGTGTGTGTTTACTTCATGTGTTTGAAACGAGCAATTGTCGTACGAAATGTCTTTCATATTTTTCACACGACGCTAATGTAATTAACACATCAACGTCTCTAAGAGTTTCAGACAATATGGAAGAACAAGTGAGTCATAATTATTATTGACAGATTTCTACAATGTCGTGTTTGTTTTATTCACTTCAATTATGAAATCTGATAAGAGATCATTATATGCCTAGCATTGTCACCTGAGATTGATGTGTCACGAGAACATATTTTGTGCTTCCATAAACAATCATCATTAGAAAATTGACAGACAGACAGACAGAAACACACACACACAAGCGCCAGTCACACACATTCTACTCCTGGTTTTGAAAACTAAGTTGTATATCTCCTGGAATGGTTATCAACCAAGGCTGAGGAGCACAGTTTACTTTACAATTTTCCCTGTTATTTTGCTTACGGCTGCATCCCGTTCAAAATACTTGTTCCCGTCTGATCACCTAAGTGAAACAACGTCCAGCCTGGTGAGTACCTAAATGGGTGACCGCTTGTTAATATCAGGTACTGTAAGCTTCGATGTTCGGCTGGTATAATAAATAATGACTCAGAATTGTTCATCTGATAGCTGACTTTCAATTACCACTAGGTTTGAGGAAAGGTATGAATCCACCTCTTCTCTCCCTAGCCAGGGGTTAATTCGTAAAACTATCATTATTATATCCAAAAAATTCTTACAGTCTAAAAATATTTTCTGACTTTAAATAACCTGCAAAGGGTTGATAAGCCGTAGAAAATGACTCAATCAAACATTGAGTAGTTACACAGGCATGAAATTTAGATTTATTTACATTCTCTGGAATATAAATGTATAGAAACTACCATGGTCACAAAGTGAGGGTTCAGTTTATATATTGTTTGTAATAAAGAACTGATCCCCCACTTTATCTCCACATTATAATTTCTTGTTTGTTTACTAAATTCTGTTTAGGTATGAATCCATCTTTTCTCCCCACTATGGGTTAATTAGTAAGACTTGCATCACTAAATCATTATCTCCCCAAAAATATTTAAATATTTTCTGGGTTTAAATTAGCTGCAGAGGGTTGATAAACAGTAAAAAACGAATCAATCAATCCCTGTTATTTATCCATAGCTTGGAGTTGTAGATTAATACCCCCTCTAAGGGCATCAATACAAAGTGAACACCGTCTTAGGAGGATATTTAAATTCAGTTTTGGGTCCATATTCCGTACATAAACCGTTAGGCCAAAGCTACTTCCACAAAATAATAAACTTAGGAAGACCTACTTATTTGCGTGTGAGATTTGTCGTGTTTACTTGTGTGAGATTGATTTATTTACTAGCAGGAGAACCCGGAGTTGCCCGGGGATGTAAGAGATAGATCAAATATCGACCATCATAAAAAATGAAAAATAAAATTGACAAAGATTATTGTTTAAGGTTGACGGACACGCAGTCTTAATTAGTTTTTTTTTTTTTTTTTTACGAATTGGTCAAACCCAAACTCAAACAAAAACATTGTTTTCAATCGTTATGAGTCTACCGATTAAATAGAATTTTATTATAAACAATTGTCTTGTAAATGGATTTTTTAAAGCATTCTGAATGTAAAAATAAAGAAAAAAAAGTGTGCAAGACAATAAGAAACACTACCTGCCAAAAAAAAAGTGAAGTTTTGTTGAAATCGGTTGAAAAACGTAGGAAATCCGATCCCATATATAAACACAAACACACACACACACAACCTATAATAAGTATAACTCGATATGAGTTTTCCCCCTTTCATTCTCGCGACAGCGATGCCTCTTAATCGTGTTTCAAATTGATTTCGCGCAAAAACAATTGTATTTTTACAATTTTTGGCACTGTCAGAACCACCGCAATGTAATTTTACGTAGTCCTGTGAAATTTTGTTGAAATCGGTTG